CAGGTAGGCCCAGCATGCCCGTCCTGGGGCTCCCCTCCTAGTACAGGTAGGCCCAGCATGCCCGTCCTGGGGCTCCCCTCCTAGTGCAGGTAGGCCTAGCATGCCCATCCTGGGGCTCCCCTCCTAGTGCAGGTAGGCCCAGCATGCCCGTCCTGGGGCTCCCCTCCTAGTGCAAGTAGGCCCAGCATGCCCGTCCTGGGGCTCCCCTCCTAGTGCAGGTAGGCCCAGCATGCCCGTCCTGGGGCTCCCCTCCTAGTGCAGGTAGGCCCAGCATTCCCGTCCTGGGGCTCCCCTCCTAGTGCAGATAGGCCCAGCATGCCCGTCCTGGGGCTCCCCTCCTAGTGCAGGTAGGCCCAGCATGCCTTCTCTGGGGCTCCCCTTCTTGTGTGTCTTGCAGGTACAGGGCTGTGTGCCCATCCTGGTGCACCCCCTCCTGGTCCAGAAACTTCTGTAATGGACTGGGTCGTTTTTTTCCGTCTGGACCACAGGAGAACAGAGACTGTCACATGGTCCTGTTTATGTGCAGCTTCAGTTAAATACAGACTTTTATCCCCCCCCCCTCGGAATGCCCCAGAGTGTCTGATTAATTGACATGTGTACATGGAGTTTGTGGTGTTTAGCTGGTGACAATGAATGAATCTTTTTAATAATAACCCTTCATCTCCCACAGGCGAAGAAGCTGGTGGAGTCTTTACCTCAGGAGATCAAGGCGAACGTTTCGAAAGAGGAGGCAGAGAAGCTGAAGGCTGCCCTGGAAGCTGCGGGCGGCACTGTGCTGCTGGAGTAGCAGCTCCTCTCATCCCTCCTCTGTCTTCATTCATTTTTTATTTTATTTTTTAATCGGTGAGAGCGGCAGACTCGTCCAGCGCTGGTGATTCATTCCTACTGCAGGGTCTGCCATCAGTGATGTGGGGTCCCTGGTGACAGGGTGAGCTGCCCAGGCCTGGACCCTCACCACTGTCATGTGATGGGGGTGGAGGAGCACATAGGCTCCTCGTTTGTCTGAAGGATATGCCTTCTGAACTGGTCTCATGCCGCTGCTGGCTCTGTCCATCCTGTCCAACGTGACTGTTGGAGTCCATCACAGTGAAACTGTTCATGGGCCCTCCTGTGGTGAAATAAACGTGTGATTTATTACACAAAAAAAGCCTGTGCCACTTTTACAGAGTTAGCGTGCTTGAGGCTTACTGGCTCTAATTAAATTCCTTCAAAAAGTTACTGCTGTTGAGATGCTATCAGTGACAGCATCAGCTTATTCTGTGTGGTGTGACTGCAGTACCCAATATCTCCACTGGAGGACAGCCATGGATTGGCAATTCATTTGTATGACGTAACACAACAAAAGCGCTCGGGCTCTGTGGCTGATGAACTAGAGTTCAATGTTCATACTTTAAGACTAAAGAAAAGTTAGTGTGAAAAAAAATGTGCTGCTGGTTGGAGAGCTCAAGCAGCGTGGAATCTAGAAGAACCTCAAAGGAGCTTCTCAAGAGGGGTGCCCCAAGGTGCTGCGTGGAATTGCAGTTTTCACAGTCGGGTTTCTTCTCTGTGTCTGGCTGCTTGGTTCTGCCTTCATTTTCAAATGGTTACAGGCTATTGTGTTAATTACAGAGATAAATTAGATAAATCAAGTTCAACTGCAATTGTGCAGAGACAGGGTTCTTTGTAGAATATTTCTTTTAACCCCAACTCGATATAGGATAGTCTATACAATGTTTAGGCTCAAAAAACGAATCCTGGAGGTAGGAACATTGATCTGCAATGGGAATTTAGATCATCGACTTTAAAGATTCCATGGGGTGTGGAGCTGCCTTTTTCTAAATGAGGACGCATACCTTTCTGTCCGAGGACATGTGGCCTGGTGGCACCTAGAGGTCCACAATGCAAACAGAATCTCAGCTTTTATTCCATTAGTGGAGCGAGAAATCATAGCTTGAGCGGGCCAGCAGAAAATCAGGTGGGCCGGTCCCATAGCAGTTCACTTCGCAAAAAAAAAAAATTACACTACTGGCTCAATTACATACATACTTGTGTGTGTGTGTGTGTGTGTGTATGTATATACAGTATATATATATATATAATATTAAAAAAAAGTCCGTTTTAAATGACCCGTAGCAATACTAAGGAGCAAGTGAACAGAGAAAGAACAATCTGTTTGCATATGAAAAGTAGTTTTTTACTCCGATCTGACCACATACACAAACACACCTGTCAGACACAATCGTTTTATGGTACAGTATCGTTAATTGAGAATGCTCAATGAATCGGCCTGAGTTCTATCTGGGTTGGTCTGGGCTGCGCAGGCTGAGAACTCTGAATGAATGGGCCTGACTTCTATCTGGGTGGGTCTGGGCTGCGCAGGCTGAGAACTCTGAATGAATGGGCCTGACTTCTATCTGGGCGGGTCTGGGCTGCGC